TTCAATCCTCCTGCCTCAGCCTCTCAAGGATCAACTTTTTAAGCTGGTGAGTCTAGTATGGTCCGTGCTCACACAGTGACTTTGGAAGGAGACACAGGGCTGTGGGGGCCCAAAGAGACTGTGATGTCAGGTGACAGACTTTTTCCTCTCCCTTCTCCTCTGCTCAGCTGCTGCCCTTTCCCTGGACGGAAGCGGAAGCTGGTACTCTGCAGTCCTGACCCTGGAGCTGCGGGTCACWCGAACTGTCCCACGGATCCCTGTGAATCGTCCTCCTCCTCTGACTGAGGGAGCCCAGCTCTGGTCAGTGCCACCCAGARACAGTCTGCAGAGCTGAACCAACAATTGGAAACTTTACCCTCATTTATTCATTTACAAAATATTCATAGACCAAAATGACCTTTTTTTAAAAAAAATTTTTATCTCTTTTTTTCTTTTTTGGTCCCAGGGATTGAACCCAGGGGTGCTTTAYCACTGAGCCCCATCCCCACCCCTTTTTAGATTTGATTTAGAGACGAGGACTTGCTAAATTGCTTCGGCCTCACTAAGTGGCTGAGGCTGGCCTCCAACTTGTGATCCTCCTGCCTCAGCCTCCTGAGCCACTGGGATGACAGGCATGCTCCACTATGCCTGGCCTCTATTTTTTATTTTTATTTTACACCCACTTYTATATATTCTTATATAAAAAAAACAGTAGAGCCTGATGAGATGGCACCTACCTATAATCCAAGCCACTTGGGAGGCTGAGGCAGGAGGATCGCAAGTTGGAGGCCAAACCTCAACAGCTTAGCCAGACCCTCAGCAATGGACCCTGTCTCAAAATCTTTTTTTAAAACAGGGCTGGGGAGGGAGCTCAGGGGTAAAGTGCCCCTGAGTCCCCTCCCCAGGACCAAACGCAAACACAAAACAAAAATAAAACCTGAGAGTTTAGATCCACGATGACAAAGGGTCCAACATGACTCATAGGGACAGTCACAGGGAGTCTGAGAGCAGAAATGTCTCAGGATGACTCCAGAGGGAACCTGAGGGTGGCCTTCAGGGTTGGTGCCTGGGCGGTCCCTCTGCCTCCTGGGGTCCCCCCTGAGTGGCCCAGTTTCCTCCCCGGCTGTCCCCAGGCCGGCTCCTGGCCCTGCAACCAGAGAGTCACCCAGACAGAGCGTCCCGCACAGGCTTTTCCTGTTCCTAAGTACCTTCCCACCTGATTCTGCTGGTGACAGCACTTGGCTTGGCTTTTCTGCTAACCTCTGCGATGACACAGTGAACTAGACGCCCCAGAACTGGAATTCAAACCGTTTTCAGGCCCAACTCCCACACAGTGGGGAAGCTGGCCAGACTGTGTGTGGGGCCAGACGACATCACTGTGACAGTACCAACCAGACAGGGAACCCAGGGGCCCTGAGCATGAGCCACAAGCCCAGACCTTCTTATTTGGCAAAGAACAGGGTCTCACTAAATTGCTGAGGCTGGCCTCCAATTTTCAATCCTCCTGCCTCAGCCTCTCCAGGATCAGGAATTAAAGGCTGGTACCACCATGCCTGGCTTATTTTGTGATTTTTGATTTTGATGATAATTTGTATCATGGTTATTCATTCAAACTGCATGTAAGGTAATGCTTTTCACACTAAAATATGTCTGTTTTGTTTTTTGTTTTATATATATTTTTATTTATTTATTTATTTAGACTTTTATTTTATTTACTTATTTTTATGTGGTGCTGAGGATCGAACTCAGGGCCTCGMATGTGCTAGGCGGGTGCTCTACCCCTGAGCCACAACCCCAGCCCTCATGTCTATTGTAAAACTTTTTTTTTTCTTTTTGTGTTATAGAAACACAGGGGGAGGTAAAAATACTATTTATTCAGAGGCTGAGGCAGGAGGATTGCAAATTGGAGGCCAGCCTCAGCAAAAAAGCGAGGCCCTGAGCAACTCAGGGAGACCCTGTCTCTAAATAAAATACAAAATAGGGCTGGGGACGGGGCTCAGGGGTTGAGGGCCCCTGAGTTCAATCCCTGGTGGTGATAATAATAATAATAATAATAATAATAATAATAATAATAATAATAATAATTTTAAATATATTAATATATTAAACTTTAAATAATATTAAAGCAAAAACAGAGTGTTTGATGGCAATTCAAGGTCACAAAGAAAATCCCGCGGTGCACTTCAGCGGGGATCGAGGCGCAGGGAGGCAGTGCCGCTCAGCCTGGGCCCACGTTCTCCGGCCCTCCCGGTCCCGCTTCCCTCCGCGGCTCCTCCACCCGCAAAGCTGCGGCGCCGATGGGGTTAACGCAGGCCGCGGCGGCGGCGGCGGCGGCGGCGCGATTGTGCGCAGGCGCGGAGTGCGCGGTGCGCCTGCGCCTGCGCGATGCGCCTGCGCAGAGCGCCGGGCGACGTGGCCGAGCGCAGCCCGGAAGTGGCCTGTGGAACGGCCGCCGGACCGCTGCTCGGAGCCGCTCGGTCCCCGCCCGGTCCCCGTCCCGCTGCTGCGTGGCGCCCGCGCCGGCCGCGACCATGTTGAAGAAATTCGACAAGAAGGACGAGGAGTCGGGTGAGGGAGGCCGGGCCCTGCGCAGCGTCCCCCGTCCTCGGGACACTGCGGGGCGCCCGGGCCCCGCTGCCCCCGCTGCGGCCGGTCCGCGTCCCGAGGCTCAGGGCGCCGGCCCGTCGCGCGCTCCGGGACCCTTTTTTGTCATTTTTCCAATTTGCTCTTTACATATTTTTTTTTTTCGGGGTCAGGGAGGGAACCCAGGGGCGCTCACCCCCAGCCCCGTCCCCAGCCCTTTGTATTTATTATTTAGAGACAGGGTCTCGCCGAGTGGCAGAGGCCGGCCTCCACCTTGCGATCCTCCTGCCTCAGCCTCCTGTACGGCCGGGATGACAGGCCTGCGCCATCCACCCGGCCAGTCCTCGGACTTTTCTTTATTCTGCCCATCTCAGTAGCTCTCCGGAGGCTGAGGCCGGAGGATCGCAAATTGGAGGCCAGCCTCAGCCAAAGCGAGGTGCTCAGCAACTCAGGGAGACCCCGTCTCTCAATAAAATGCAAAATAGGGGCTGGGGACGGGGCTCAGGGGTGGAGGGCCTTCCTGAGTTCAATCCCTGGTCCCCCTCAAAAGAAAGATCATGTCCAGTTCATTCTGTTGTCTTTCCTATTCACATCCCTTCTACCTTCCCTTTGTCTGATCTGATGAACTTGAGCATCTGCACATCAGAGAGAACATTCCACCTTTGGCTCTTGGAGTCTGGCTTAGTCCACGTAGCATGATCCTTTCATTTATAGGCAAATGCCATTATTTCATTTTTNCCCCCCCCTTATTTTTTTTATTTTTGAGACAGGGGCTCACTAAGTTGTGGAGGGCCTTACTAAATGGTTGAGGCTGGCCTCCAACTGGTGATCCTCCTGCCTCGGCCTCCTGAGCTGCTGAGATTGCAGGCCTGAGCCACCCGCACCTGGATTCAGGACAGCGATTAGATTATATCAGCTCTTTGGGTTGTAAATGGATCCATTAAAATCCAAAGTTTGCCATTTTGGGGACGGTTTCAGTGACCTAGGTGCAGTAGAATAGGTTGGGAATCATAACATATTTCAAGATTCCACTTGAACACCTGGATGTGGTATTTCTGGACACTGTCATGTCCTTGCCACTTGAGAATCAGTTGCGTCTTGTGTCAAGTCTGGAACCATCTTGGACAGTAGCATGTCAGGGAGCCTCACACCTTCTTCCCTCCAGTGAGTCCTCGTTGCCTGGGTTGTGGATCCTGACCAGAGTTCTCTTCTGAAGTCAACACATTGCAGGAGAAAGTGGTGCTCGCCCATCATATCCCAGTGGCTCAGGAGGCTGAGGCAGGAGGATCGCAAGGTGGAGGCCAGCCTCAGCCACTTAGCAAGGCCCTAAGCAACTCAGGGAGACCCTGTCTCTAAATAAAATAGAAAAAGGGCTGGGGACGGGGCTCAGGGGTTAAGTGTCCCTGGGACCAAAAGAAAGAAGAGAAAAAAAMCCACACCCCTCTGTCTTCCATCTCCTCAGGTCCACCTTGTGCAGCTTCTAGGCTGCCCTGGGCTCCAGCCAGCATCCTCTGGCCCAGCTCCAGCCTCTGCAGCTTCCTGTCTGAGTCTCTCCCTTGGGCGAGCCACCAAGCCCAGTCCTCCACCCACACCCTGCCCGGAGCCTCCTGGCCCTCACCCCTGAGTCATCTTGGCTGGCCCAGCACTTTGTGCTCAGTAATCATGTGGGACCAAGAGAAAGAGGAACAGCACTCAGCAAGGCAGGGGCCAGCTAACCCAGTGAGCAGGGATGCCGCTGTCCCTCTCCAGAGCTGCTTCTCCTCCGTGAGAGGCCACCTGGGGACCTCAAAGGTGTTTTCCATTCTAGGGTTTAAATAGAAATGTCAAGAGACCTGGCACAGGGGCTCAGGAGGCTGAGGCAGGAGGATCGCCAGGTGGAGGCCAGCCTCAGCCACTTAGCGAGGCCCTCAGCCACTCAGCGAGACCCTGTCTCTCAATAAAATACAAAATAGGGCTGGAGAATGTAGGTTAGTGGTAAAGCACCTCCAGCTTCAATCCTCAGCTGGAAGATTATTATGTATCCTTACTATTTATTAATAAATAATAACAATTACCAGAGGCCATTGGTGGTTTGGTTCGTTTGGTGTTTTAGTGCCGAGGATCGACAATAGAAGGGGCTTCATCACTGAGCCACATCCCCAGCATCCCCCCTTTTCTTAAAAAAATATTTTTGAGTGTAGAGGACATGATACCTTTTATTTTATTTCTTTATGTGATTGATTTTATTTATTTATTTTTATATGTGATTCTGAGGATCGAACCTAATGCCTCGCACATGCCAGGCAACCACTCTACCCCTGAGCCCCAGCGCCAGCCCTTTGTGTTTTTCTTTTCTTTTCTTTTCTTTTTGAGACAGAGTCGCACTAAGTTGCTGAGGACCTCACAAAATTGCTGAGGCTGGCCTCCACCTTGCGATCCTCCTGCCTCAGCCTCCGGAGCCACTGGGATGTCACACACACACCATGGCTCCCGGCTTCTTTCTAGATTTCTTTCCCTTCATTTTGCTGCAAGTTAAAACAACAGGAATCAGCCCTGATTTTGCAAACGGACCTACCAAGGCAACTTGAGGCCTTGCAGAACCAGCAGAGCGTTTGGCGCGGCCTGTGCAGGCTAGTCCCTGGCCACTGTCCCCAGAGGCTGCCTTTCAACAGGGAGCCCCAAGCTGTCTCCATTGACCGCAGCTGAGGAGTCAGAGAACATTGTTCTTTGCCAAAAGAGACTCTAAATGGTGCTGAGTCGGAGGATCTGTCAACATCCTTTGCTTTTAGATATTTTCCTTTATCCGGCCAGTGCGCAGATAATCAGGCCGAGTTCTGGAAGTGTGTTTCTGAGAAATGCAGACCAATGAGTCTGCAAAGTCCTGGGGCAGAGCATCTCCAGCTTTCCAGCCTGGGACAAGGCACTTCAAGACAAATCACAGATTGAATGACATCAGGAGAATCTTCTGGAAAAAAATATGCATTAACTGGTGACACGAGATTTATAGTCTATAGGAAAATGGCAATACTTTCAAATCTTTGCTTTCATTTGGTACTTGATTTAATTTAAATATTTTATATTATTTAAATATTCATACATATATACACACACATGCACACATATATG